CATTCGGCTTCACCCGGACATTTTGGGTCTCGAGTTGGCGGGATTGCATCATAAGATCGCCCTTTTTGCGGATGATATTCTGATGTATCTTTTGTCTCCACTTATTTCTCTCTCCAATCTCTTGTCACTTCTGACTGATTTCAGTGGCTGACTGACTGAGTCAGTGGCTATGAATGTTTCCTTCCCCCAACCGCTTGTGTGACACACCTTCAATCTCAATTTCCGTTTCAATGGAGCTCCTCACTTCTTTATTTGGGAGTTAAACTTACACCTTCTTATAATTTGTTGTATGAGGTGAATATTCCTCCTTTACTTTCTCAGCTAACCCAGTTGCTCTTTTCTTGGCAGTCCATGTCCTTATCCTGGTTTGGTAGGGCCCAAGCAATGACTTAAAATGACTTATCTTCCCAACTACTTTATCCTTTTCAGGTACTCCCTGTTTGGATTCCACCCCATATACTCCGTATCTTACAACGCCAAATTGTACGGTTTGTATGGGCTTCTGAACGTCCTCGTTTGTCTAAACAGCTTTACCGCCCACATATTCGGGGTGGTCTTGGTCTTCCGAATGTTTATCATTACTATATTGCGGCCCAAGTTACTCCCCTTGTTCAGCTCTTTTCTCTAAAAGACTTACCCTTGTCGGCACTGATAGATACTTTGGACACACATCCCCTTCTGCCTTCAGCCTTGCCTTGGCTTCCTCTGTCCTCGCGACCTAAATTGTTGAATCCTGTCTTGACTCACTCTTTAAAAATGTGGGACTTGTGTAAGTACTCGGCGGGTCTATTTTCACCGCATTTACCTCTCTTACAATTATTTGACTGTCCACTTTTTTCCCCCAGGGGACTCTGATAAGATGGCCTTTCATTGGTGGATCATGGTTTTACGACGGTTCACTCGTTAATCACGGGTTGAGGTATGCGTACGTTTGCGCAGATTCAAGAGAGTCATTCTATTCCTCCCTCGTAGTTATTTCATTATTTGCAATTACATCATTTTGTTGTACCAGCAAGTCTAAATGTTGAAGAAAAACAACCTACTCGGCACCCAGAACTACATGTCATGGGCATCAGGCGATATGAATTTTGCATCCCCGATTTCATCTGTCTATTTAGCTGTTTGCCTGGAGTTCAGCTTGTAGGCAGGTGGCTTACTTTAGTCATTGAGTGGTGGTTGGTCCAGGCCAGGAGAAGGGGTTAAACTATTCTATCCTTTTTTCTGGGCTTTTGGGACCCATAATACCCGCTCTGTGCTGCTAATAAAAAAAGGGGGGAAGGCAGGGTACCTGTTTTTCCCTTTGCTCTTGGGATTCAGCTACCTCAAGGTTGATTTAATTTGAACTTGGCCTTCGCCCAGTCCCAGGCATTGGTGAGTGTGCACACACACACACACAAGAGTGACCCCATCCATTCTGCCTGGCATAGCCCAAGAACCTGGGGGGATTACAATCACGTGGTAATAAGGACAACCTGCCGCCTGGCACAGCTCCCATACAAGCTTTATTGGTCCCCAACACAGAGAGATTGAATCTCCCTGAAGGGGACACAAAAAGCTAGTGAAGCCTGACAGAAGTTCTAATCTTCCCCTTCTCTATCAAAAACAAAAAAAAAGGTTTGGCTATGCATGCACATTAACCCCTATTCTGAAACCTGCTCACTTCATCATACTGTAGGAGCTTCTGAGCAGATAGCATGCAGGTCACATGCTGAACATATTTATGTATGCATGCTGCCATCGCAGTATAGAATCATTAGCTGATTACAGAAAAGATAGCCAAGCCAAGTCATAAGTGCTTCTTCCTAAAATCTGCTCGATAGTTGTCTGGCTTTTTATAGCATTTTGATGGATTTCCTATCAAAGTTAAAAATCAAGCAATTACTTATAACAGTAACTGTACTCATAACTGTAAGAAATATTTCAATAAAAAATAAGTATTTTTCTACAACATTTTTATAGCATATATTATATAGAGCATCATATATTCTGAACAGGTCAACCAACAGGGATGCCATAAACACTTCTGTCCACTAGCTGGAGACACAATCCACACTTCAGACTGAAACAGCATAAATGTAAACCTATTCATTCGTGGGTTAGTAATATGCATTCCACATACAGCTGGGGTAAAATTGGGTGAATTAACAACAGGAATTATAAGAATGTTTGTGTTAACTGAACACAACCATAATATGCAACCTCTAAGGTGCCTTTCACACGGGCGGTTTGATTGCAGCTTTTAGCTTTGGTTAGAGGAACTTACTTACCGCAGCTAAATGCAGACAATGCATCTCTATGGCTCCATTCACACACTACGTTTAGCAACATTTTCATAACATACGGTTTTATGCGTTTAGGAAAAATAAAGTTCACTGCATCCAGGAGCGTTGTTCCGCAGCTATCTGTACATAAACGCAGTTAATCACAGTACAAAGAAAAAAGTCAACAGTGGCATTAGAAAAGGCAAAAATTTACTACCGCAGCTAAATTCAGCCACATGTAAATGCACATAAACACAGATAAATGCAATGTACAAATGAAAGTGATTTCTGTGCCAGGAGTGTTGGAATTTCAAAATAAAAAAAACCTGCATTTACAAGCAGTAGAACAACCGCCCGTGTGAAAGAGGTCTAAAGCTAGCAAAAGCTATTAATCGAGTATAAGAAGCTTGGATTTAAAGGAGAAAAACATAATTTTCCTGCACAACACATTAGGCCAGGCTAACCCTAAATATTTATAAAAAAGCATAAGCTGAAACTCCTATGCTGGATGATGAGCTCCGCAATGTCAGAAACCCTACATGGTGTACTTTTTGGGAATGAAAGCCTTGCTGTCCTCAACGGACCAGGGAAATCCAAAGAAGGTGTGTGCAAAGAAACAGAGGACGCACGAGCCTAGTGCATTACCTTTTAAAAATGAGATTTATTGACTAAATAGTAGTATACATGTTTCCAACAGAGGGCTCCGAGGAAGAGGTTCTGCCGCGAAACGCATCAGCCATTTGGAGGCCTACAGTTCCCCAATAGCCATCATCTAGGGAGATTGGACCATGCTGTCTTTTTTGTGTTGTGCCTTTGATTTTATTCTTTTGTGAGTACACTGCTTTTTATTCAATAAATCTCATTTTTAGAAGGTAATGCACTAGGCCCGTGCGCCGTCTGTTTCTTTTTCACTCACACTAAATATTTTTGGTACTGGCCCCCCACAAACACATCCTGAAACTGGAAAGAGTGCAGAGAAAGGAAAATAAATTAATATAAGGCATGTTAGATCTTGGATACAATCAATAAAGCATTTTAACACTTAAGAAAGGGTGATACAAATATAAAATGTTCAAAAAGAAAATTCAATGGCAAGCTATAAATTCTATAAGAGTCCATTCAGTTCAACCAATTAAAAAAAAAAAAAAAAAAGTTATAATCATATACCCACAGTTGATCCAGAGGAAGGCAAAAAAAACCCAGCAAAGCATGATCCAATTTGCCTCTGCAGGGAAAAAAATTCCTTCCTGATCCCCAGAGAGGCAATCGGATATTCCTTGAATCAACTTTACCTATAAATGTTAGTATCCAGTTATATTCTGTGTATCTAGGAAATAATCCAGGCCTTTTTTAAAGAAATCCACTGAGCTGACCAGAACCGACTCTTGAGGGAGTCTATTCCACATTTTCACAGCTCTCACTGTGAAGCCTTTCCGTATTTGGAGATTAAATCTCTTTTCCTCCAGATGTAAAGAGTGCCCCCCTTGTCCTCTGTGATGACCTCAGGGTGAATAACTCTACACCGAGTTCACTATATGAACCACTGATGTATTTATACATGTTGATCATATCCCCCCTTAATCTCCTCTTCTCAAGAGAGAATAAATTCAGTTCCTCTAATCTTTCCTCATAGCTGAGCTCCTCCATGCCTCTTATCAGTTTGGTTGCCCTTCTCTGTACTTTCTCCAGTTCCCCAATGTTCTTTTTGTGCATTGGTGCCCAAAACTGAACTGCATATTCCAGATGAGGTCTTACTAATGATTTGTACCGGGGGAAATGATATCTCTCTCTCTGGAGTCTATACCTCTTTTAATACTAGAGAGGATTTTGCTCGCTTTAGAAACCTCAGCTTGGCATTGCATGCTATTATTAAGCTTTTGATCTACCAGAACTCTCAGTTCCTTCTCCACCATTGATTCACCCAGTTGTACCCCCCCTAATATATATGATGCATGCATATTCTTAGCCCCCCAGTGCATAATCTTACATTTATCAACATTAAACCTCATTTTCCACATAGTTGCCCAATTAAACAGTGCATTGAGGTCGGCTTGTAAGTTGGAGACATCCTGTAAGGACGTTATTCCACTGCACAGCTTGGTGTCATCTTCAAAGACTGAAATGGGATTTGTTAACCCCAGACCCTATATCGTTTATAAATATATTAAAAAGTAAGGATCCCAACACTGAACCTTGGGGTACACCACTGACAACCCTAGACCATTCAGAGTATGAATCATTAACCACTACTCTCTGAATACGATCTTTTAGCCAGTTTTCCATCCATTTACATACGTATTTTTCCAAGCTCGTAGACTTTACCTTACACATTAGCCATGTGTGGGGAACTGTGTCAAACGCTTTTGCAAAATCCAAGTATACCACGTCCATCCCCACCCCTCTGTTCAAGGTTTTGCTCACCTCCTCATAAAAAGAAATCAGATTTGTTTGACAACTTCTGTCTTTTAATGAATCCATGCTGTCTGTTGCTTAAAATATTTTTTTTTCCAGCAAGAGCTCACCTATGTGGTCTTTTATTGACCGCCTCCCGCCTGCCATATAGTACAATGACGGGCGCAAGGCGGTTCTCTCGTTTTGGGAGGACGTCATATGATGCCCTCCCATTCTAACAGCACATGCGCGGCTCCTGGAGCGCGCAGCGCCGCGATCGGTGGTGCGCTGTGTCCCTCGGACACAGCGGATCACCGATCGACGGAAAGAGCCGAAGATGTTGGCTTGGTCATGTGATCAGCTGTGTCCAATCACAGCTGATCGCATGTAAATAGGGAAATGCTGGTTATCGGCATTTCTCTCCTCTCGAGCTGTCACGCTGACAGCTCGAGAGGAGAGGAGAGCCGGCAATCGGCATTCCTCGGAGGGGACATGTACACTGATCATCAGGGCACTGATGATCAGTGTGCCCTGATGATCTCTGTAGCCCCAGAAGTGCCACCTGTCAGTGTCCATCAGTGCCAGCTGTCAGTGCTCATCCATGCCACCTGCCAGTGCCCATCAGTGCCACATCAATGCCACATATCAGTGCCTACCAGTGCACATCAATGCCATATATCAGTGCCCATCTGAGCTACCTTTCAGTGTCACCCATGAGTGCCACCTATCAGTGCTGTCAATCAGTGCCACCAATCAGTGCCAGTCAGTGCCGCCTATCAGTGCCGCCTATCAGTGTGCATCAGTGCCGCCTATCAGTGCCCGTCAGTGCTGCCTAGCAGTGCTGGCTGACAGTGCCAGTCAGTGCCACCTAACTGTGCCAGTCAGTGCCAGCCTCAGTGCCAGCCTAGTCAGTCAGTGCCGCCTATCAGTGCCATATATGAGTGCTGCCTTTCAGTGCCCATTAGTGATGCCTGTCAATGCCCATCAGTGCCACCTACCAGTGCCTCCTCATCAGTGCCCATCAGTGCCACCTAGCAGTGCCCAACACTGCAGGCTCATTAGCACACATCAGTGAAGGAGAAAAATCACTTATTTACAAAATGTTATAACAAAAACTAAGAAAAAACTTTTTTTTTCAAAAATTTTCAGTGGTTTTTTGGTTTGTTTAAGAAAAAATAAAAAAAAACCCAGAGGTGTATAAATACCACCAAAATAAAGCTCTATCTGTCACAAAAAATGTTTAAAAATTTCATATGGGTACAGTGTTGCATGACTGTGCAATTGTCATTCAAAGTGTGACAGCGCTGAAAGCTGGAAATTGGCCTTGGCAGGAAGGGGGTATAAGTGCCCTGTAGGCTAGTGGTTAAACTCTTCAGTATCTTCCCAACTATAGAAGTTAAACTAACAGGTCTATAATTACTTGATAAAGATTTTTACCCCTTTTTAAACATTGGCACCACATTGGCCTTACGCCAATCCAGTGGTACTATGCCAGTCATTAGAGTCCGTAAAGATTAGGTTTAGGCAGGTTTTGCAGCTGAAAGAAAAGCAGTTTATCATGGGGAACAGTCTTTCAAACAATCCAACTCTACTAGATACATAGTTACATAATTACATAGATGGTAAGGCTGAATAGAGACACTGGTCCTTCCAGTTCAACCTGAGGGTGTGTGTGGTGTGTGTGTGTTCATGTCACTGCCATTTTCCGTATCCCTGTATGTTATGTTCACTAAGAAACACATCTAAAAGTTGTTGTCATTTATCAAGACTGCAGAACAAAATGAAAATGAGAAGCGCATCAACCTTGCGCATTACCTCAGTAACCAAAATTTATTAATTATAAAAATATACTCACAAACAGCGAATAAAATCAGGCATGTAAGTCCTCAAAGGGACTTGAAGACAGCGCAAATCCCATCAAGAAGATGGATATTCAGTACAGCTGACGTGTTTCGAAGGGTGTCCCTTCTTCATCTAGCTCTGATTTTATTCGCTGTTTGTGAGTATATTTTTATAATTAATAAATTTTGGTTATTGAGGTAATGCGCAAGGTTGGTGCGCTTCTCGTTTTCATTTTGTTCTGCAGTATTGGTCGGGCTTCCCCAGCCTTGTTTGGAGCCGCACAACCCTACATGCATATGTGGTCGATTTTTCCAGGTCTGGTTCCATCCATTCGCCACCTGTCTGGGTCCTAGAGTGCAGGAGAATTCGTTTTTGATTTATCAAGACTGTCCATTGACACCATCAACTTTTGAAGAAAGTGCAAAGATAGCCCTGACTCCATAGGGTCATCTTTACTGGCATTGTTATATGAAGGTATTAATGTTGGTGTAAATTATTTGGTTCCTGGGAAAGTGGTTTCTACACCACAGAGGATCTCCACAGTCTCCATGGTTTGTAGTGTAATGTAACGAGACTTGAAATTGAAGAGCCACAGCACTGCTAGGAGGTCCAGATACAACTTTATTCCATTAAAGTAGGAATAAAAATGGAGTACAATCCAAAAAATTACCAATGCATTTCAGGGGTCCAACGCCACCTTCATCAGGGCTTAACTGACAACGATGCAAACAAACCAGAAGTGAACTGAACCTACCATTGTAATTTTTACAGTATGAATTACAAGCACAGGCCTTATCAGCAGCTTTTTTGGCTACATGAATATGATTTGTTAATACTTTCACCAGCAATGTTTTTATATCTCTTTTTTCTGGGGTCATATATGATATTTTTGGAAATAAGTGATTGGCTCACTAAAGCATAACATGTAGCATTGTAGGGGAGCACAGGATGTGATTGTGATGTACACAGAAGGATCTGCATTGTAGTTCTCCAAGCCACCACCAGTTGCCTCTGTTCAGTGATGATGATTGTAATTTAGGCAGCCATTGGGATAAGAGCCCTTTAAGGTGCTGCCCTATCTCACTGTTTTTAGAGGATTGTACAAGGAGGTATCATGGGAAGCACAGGGGTAGCTGCTGGATGGTGAGCTGGTGTGGACAGACATTAAATAGTGTCTCTTCAAAATAAAGTGTTAGAGAATCCTAAAGGTTTTTGCCCATGTAAGAGGTGTAAGGTGTGTAAAAATGCACAGACTGCTTGTATCTCCTGTTTTTATCTAATGTCATCTCCAAAAATGATAAAATCTGTGATTTTATCATGTGTAGTTCTAAGGGGTGGTTTACTTCTTAAGTTGCACTTGTGGCCTCCAGTATGTGGGGAGCACCACGAGATCTCAGAATGTTCGAAATGGGGAACATCTAGCTAATATTAAGAAGGGTTTTCCATCACATAGCCTTTCTAAGCACTTTGCTTCACACCATAGCAGAGACCCTTCCTCCTTGCAAATTATAGGTATAGAAAAATACACTGGAGAAGGAGTATCATGAATGTCGCTAAACACGATGAATTTTTTACCTTAAGGCTAGGTTCACACTAATGCGGTGTGGTACACTGCATGTGATTCGCACCGCATTCCTGTGTAAATCACATGCGATTTGCATGCGGTGCGATGTATGGCTCCAATCGCACTGCACCCGCACCAAAAAGATGTAGGACCCTTTATTGGGTCTGTACTAGAATCAGATCACATGGGTATTCACAGCTATTTGATCCGATTCTGCACATCACACTGCGTTTTGCGGACCGATTTTGGGGTGTTGTTAACTTAACATACACACCCACATTGGTTTGCATGAACGGGGTGCAATTCTGATGTGGTGCGGAATTTCACAGAAAAAGCTGCGAATTCCGCACCGCATCAGTGTGAACCCAGCCTTAGACCCACCAACCATGGGGTCTTAATGTTGAATGGAATATCAATTCCTTTATCAATAATAATTAACCACCTCCCGTCCAGCCGTTGTATATAAATGGCCAGACGGTGGCACTGCAGGGTCGGGTGGCCGTCTATAAACGGCCTCCCTGCACCCTGCTTGTGCGTGCTCCCTGGGAGCGCGCAGCACCGCGATCTGGTGCCCACTGTGTCTCCGGACACAGTGAAACACTGATCGTCAGACGGGACCTCTGTACGAGGTCCCGATCATGTGATCACTGATTGGCCAATCAGTGATCACATGCAAAGTAGTAAGCAAGATGTCACTTATGACATCATTGCTTACTACGTGTGAAATCTGTGAATGATCACAGAGGTCACATGGTACAAGGCTATTCACAACAGCCTTGTACCATGTGACAAGCTGTGACTAATCACAGCTCACTCAGTAGTTCTCAATGGCTGCAGGAATGCAGACAGAGAGAAAGAGAAATGATTGCTTTTACATCCTATATGGGTGTAAAAGCAATCAGTGTAAAAAAAAAAAAAATCTTCACCACCCCCCACAAGAAGTACAGTGTCAACATGGTGACACTGTACTGCTAGGGTGACAGTATGTAAAAAAAAATAGTATGTACTAAAAAGATAATGGAATAAATTTTGGCCACGATTTATGATGAAATATTATTTATTTGCAAAATTTTATAAGAAAAACACTTTTTTTCAATATTTTTGGACATTTTCATTTACATAGCAAAAAAAATAAAAATCCCAGCAGTGAATAAATACCACCAAAATAAAGCTTTATCTGTCTCAAAAAAATGGTAAAAAATTCATATGGGTACAGTGTTGCATGACCGCGCAATTGTCATTCAAAGTGTGATAGCGCTGAAAGTTGAAAATTGCCCTGGACAGGAAGAGGGTAAAAGTGTCCGGACAGGAAGTGGTTAAGATACAATTTGGGTTATTTACAAAATATATTTTTGGGTCGCATTATGATTAATATATTAAGATGTATTTCCATCCTTTTCCTGCCATGTTGTGCATACTTTAAAAAATTTAATGTATATATTTTTTAGTCATCTGAATGGCATTTTTATTCTTGTTTGATTTATATTATATTCATTTATTTATTTGTGGTTTTTTTTTATTCATCCCAATATTGTAATCATTTTTATTGTTAATTTTTGCTTTAGAGTATTGCATTGAATAACATGTACACTTTTTTGGAGCTTACATGCAGCCACAAGATGGTGCCATTCCATTTTTATCTGGTATTTACTGCGGTTAAACATTGCGTACATATATTTGTGGGTCATTTTAAAATATCTTTTATTATATTTCATTTTTAGTTTTATGTAAGTTTGGGTAATGATTATTACCTAATTCTGGTTAATTTTAGCCATTTCGCTGCTTTGGCAATAGGTTTATATTGTCATCTTGCAGGTGTATGTATTCGGAAAGTCCTTCCAGTGTCTTTTTCCCTTTAAAATGACAATTGATGACGTTACACAAGTGATCTCCAATCCCAGAGGACACCATTTTTGGGGAAATGCGTCAGACAGAATCTTTGTGTGACGTCATCGTGCACCAACGTGCTTACTGACACCGCACCACTGAGGCTTCTCCTTGCTTAATCCTTCCATATATCATCGTGATGAACTGTACAGGACATTAGAACCGATTCTTGGTGGGACTGCATACCTTTTTGCTGAATGCAGTTATTTTTTCCAGTGCTCTGGCAGTGAGAGTGCCAGCCTGGAGTTGTGACGCACATGCTTGCTTGATCTCTATAGCTTGCGATCATTTCATTTTGGTAAGAAGCTTGCTTTTTTCTTAGAAGCACCTTCTGAGCACAGAAGCACTTTATATGATGTTTTGCAGCACAGAGCACTTTCTCCACGGTTTACTTTGGAACTTTTTAATTTATTTATTCATTTATATATTCACTACTCATATTGATGGTATATATTTGCATATGAATTTTCATTCTT